TTTTAGAAACAAAATTAGCCAACAATACCTTTAGAGATAAATTTATCCAAAATCAGTATTTAAGGTTCCCTTTGTTTTACCTAAGGCTATGATATCGAAGGTGGGGAAGGCTTAAACAGTGGGGGGAACATGCTGGACACAACTTATCCCTCATCTTACATATCCCTGATAGAAACTATTAATAAAAGAGGGAGGAGTTGATGGGCAATGGGGGAACAGAAAAAAAGCAAGAGAATCCAGTTCTTATCTAGTCGTAAAAGGCATTCTCTCCCTGCCTGGTTTTACCTCGGTATAAGAGTGGCCATTAATCTCCAGCAAGTAGGCCCAACATGCTGAAGACCTGTCAGCACCGTATAAACAGAATAAAGCAAACTGTTAATATTGCTGTCGTGAGCAAACCGAAAACAGACTGATTAATCGTATTGGCGCTCGACCGCCAGGGAGCCAACTTTGGCTGTCGCCTTATTAGGGAAGTCACAGTTTGCTTTTAGGCCTTTCATTATGATGACTGTCCGGTTTTCATCCTCACTGTTTTTGTTATTGTTGTTAAATGAACGCCTTGTTCTTGAACCCATACTGCAAATCTTGACTGGCAGGGGTGATTAGTTTAGAAAAAGTCAGTGTCCTCCCCGAAGCCTAAAATGTTTACAGTGCTGACAATTCACTGTTTCTGAGGACTCCCAGATGGCGGCCCTGCTGAATGAGTTCAAGGCCTAGTTAACTTTTCATGAGAAGAATTATTTACAGTATCCACACGTGAAGGTGCATGAAGAACTCTGTGGAAAATCTTGGCACAGACGGCAATGTCAAGACATGTCTGGCTCAGCAGCCATTAGGGTAGTCTTTGGGAGGGCATTAAGAAGAGCTGGAAAGGGCCTCAGCCCTCTGCATCCTGCTGAACACAGGAACAGGAGGATATATGTAAAACAGAGGCCACAAACAGACACCTCAAGGCCACATTTGGCCAGTAGACATGTTTTGTTTGGCCTTACAGGGATGGCCCCCACCAGGTTTTGAATTTGTGAAATAGTTGCTAACATTTAAATAATCGGGAGTTTTCATGCACACACAAAATGAAGCTTTCTGGTTTCTCTTTCCAGTTCTGATAACATAGGGCTTCATTCTTGTGTAGTAGCAATCGGCTTTAGATGCTTGACTCTCCACTGCGTCATAGCCTCTGCTGCTTCTGTTTGTCTCCCCCGTCCTAATATCACTTGGTATGTAACACATTGCTGCCCTGTCTTTCTTACCCCTAGCCCATTTGATTTATTTATAGTGGTGCCTGGGTCTGTAGGCACTTAAGGTTTTGACCCCAGCTATTTGTAATCCAATATTAAGAATAGAGTTTGCTGATGTCTCAGGTACCAGATCCATAACTCTTATTTCAGTTGGGAGGTCCATCCCGAAAGGTGGCAAAAATCGTAGATGTGGTTCTCTTAAAAGACAATCAATAGCTTATAGAACTAGAAGAAATCACACAGTTCCTCAGAAGACAGGCTGGGGTATCCCAGGGCCTGGGCTGAGCCATCACCACATGCTTTGCAGGCAGCTGC